TTGAGAGATAATATCGCAAATATTCTTCCGAAACCGGTTGTGCAAAACGATACAGGTAATGAAGAAGAACCTCTAGCCAAGAAAAGGCGGTACTGCACCTTTTGCACTAATAAAAAAAAAGAATGTCTAAGATGACTTGCGTCAAATGCAGGAAAACAGTTTGCACAAAAATGATGTTTGTTTTGAATGCCTATCAAACCAAATTTGAGTCAAACGATTATAGTTTTGACTGATTTTTCTTAGTTCATTAGTTATTAAGAAATAATATAATTCGTTTTTAAGAAAAAAATATATTATTTTTGATACTATGTTTCTGTAAACAGAAGACTGCTAATTTTGTTGATTTTTTCTAGAGGTTTTTTGATTTAAGTTTAATGTTTAAAATATATAAAATATTTCACTAAAAAAGTTTTTTATTATTAGTTCATTAACCACATTTCAAAACAATCAAGTAAATAAATACAATAAATAGGTATTTCATTAAAAAAATTATTAATATATCGTGCGCCTCCGAAGCGCATGGTTATCTTTTGTGACAGTCAAAATATGATTATCTTTCTAGGGCTAAACTAAAAGAACTTAGGGAAAAGACCAAGAAACTATTTAATAGGGCTAAGAAAACCAAAGAGTGGGATATTTAAAGTGCAGCCCTAATTGAATATAATAAAGAAATTGGGAAAGCCAAGAGAGCATCGTGGAGAAAGCTATGCGAGGAAGTTGAGTCTTTGTCTCGCAGTGCAAGACTACACAAAATGCTATCGAAAACTAAATCAAATTAGATCGGGCTTCTTAAAAAGCCTGATGGTAACTTCACTAATAGTGAAACAGAAACATTGGAGTTACTAGCGTCAACACATTTCTCAGGGTTACACAAAACTTCAGCCTTGAATTATTTGAGAGCCCTACGAAGGCCTTGTAATGAGGACTGGTGTAGGGCTGGCTAACAAGGCCAAACCCGGTGCAGTGGGCTGTTGACTCCTTTAAACCATTTAAAACAAGGGGGAGGATGGAATAATTCCCATCCAACTTCAGAGAGTATCGACATCCTTCTTCCCTATCTGGTGAAAATATTCAGAGCAAGTTTTGCATGGGGATATATTCCAGAACGATGGACAATTATCAAAGTTCTTTTTATACCTAAGGCTGGTAGAAAGGTCTACGTTTTTTATTAACTCTGCCTGCAACAGGAATCACGGGCAACTAACTTTGTCAATGCTTTTTGTTGCTGCCGGTCCCAAGCCCGGAAAAGAGGAGGGAACGGTTCCGCCGGAGAGAGTGGGTGTATCCGGTGGACTAATGCACCCACCTGCGCTAGGACCTGCGGCAGTTGAGCGCTTATGTGGGGATGAAGGAGTCCTGGAGGGTTGAGCCGATCGTCACTGGGACAACACGCCCTCTTTGGTCCGGATTTCAAGCTAAACGGTGGCCTTATCTGCTAGCCACAGATAAGGAAATGATCAAGCGTCCCTTCAGAGGTTCGCAGGCGAGGGATGTGGGGGCTGCCTAATCTCCCTGAAAAGGGTAGGTGGTGGTAAAGGCCATGCTGACGGGGCAAGTGAAAGTCAACTCGGGCAGTGGGGATGGGCCTTTTCAGCCCTATCTGCCAGCTGGATTGAGCTCCCGATGTCGCGCTGTGAGCCAACTCTGCGTCCCTATATTCCCCCGGTAATCCTAACGCCTGAAATTCTTTTAATAAAGTAGGGCGCACCCAAAGGTGCGGGCTCCATGGAGGGTGGGAAGCCGGGGGGGACGAATTAATACACATATCAAAAACTATGAACAACACAAGGCCCATTAGTAGAGAGGGAGAAGTGTCAGAGGTGTTTACCTTAGACACTGATAAACCAGAAGGAACCGCCGTTAAACCGGCCGTTCCACTGACTGTACCACACAGCGTAGGTGGCCCCACCAAGGGGGCTATTTCCGCGCTGGATGTCTCTAAATCCAGTTCCAAATCCAAGGAGCTGGGAGAGAAAAATGAGCAAGGGGCCGCGAGTAGCAAAACTCCTGCGGAGCCCCAAAGGACCGAAGACCTTTTCTCCGCTGCCTGGCAAGTGGTGAGCCGTAAGGGGAAGCGCAAGGCACCCAAAATGGTGACTTGCCAACCCGCCGCAACATCAGGTGGGTCTATCCCAGCAGGCAGTAGCGCAAAGGTTAAAAGAAGAATAAGAAGCAGCGAGAAAAAGGCCGCAGAGAAAGAGCCGCGCTCGCTGCTTCCAAGAGCAAGACTCAGGGAGCTGGGCAAGCTACTGCTACTGCAGTGCTTGGGACTGGAACCAGTAGTCGTGCTGAAACTGGGAAGGATGAAAATCCAGCCCGAGCAGTAGGCACGGCCGCCAGAACCAGCTCTAAGAAATCCGCCAGGAACCAGAGAGCAGCCAAGCGTCCTGGAAAGAAGAAAAGAGCAGCCAAAAGATTGCTGGAGGAGTCCACCTCGCCGAGAGGAGAGCACAAAAAAGTGCGGCTTGAACAGCAAACAAAGGCTGCAAGAACAAGCTACGCTTCTGCTGCTAAAGCAGATTTGGGTGTGGCCTTAACGTGTGCGCGTTCAGGTCACATAACAAAGGAGGTAGCTGATGACATCCTCGTGGCCATACAGAGGAAGATGATCAGCGAAGCCTGGAGTAAGCAGGACCCTGATGCATCGGGCCCGGTTTTTAGAGGCAAACCCGTTTACACGGAGGGTGTCCTAAAACTGTGGTGCGATGACCAGAAGGCTCTGGACTGGTTGAAGGGGAATATTAATACCCTCGACCTCAAATCCAACACCTCGCTGACTATTAAGAAACAGTCAGAGATACCACAAAGAATCAAATGTGGTATCCTTATCCCTGATGCCCAAGGTGCCTCGAAGGACTCACGCTACATTGGTCGTGTTCTTGCGTACCAGAACCGCTGGGTAAACATAAAGGACTGGCTACTACTCAAAGCGGACAAACAGACGGACGGGTGGTTCCTCGTTGTTTCGGTGCCGGAGGATCATATCCCGACCCTGATGAAAGCCGGGCGCCGTCTCGCATGTGTATGTGGGGCGGTATACGTTAAATTCCAGGGTCGTGGAGGAAAATTCGTTTATTCCCCACCTATTCCGAATACCGTGGCCATGGTTGCTGGTACATCGAAATCACTGGATGTCAAGTCTAATGACAAAACTGCCTGCACAACCGAGCTGAAGCCCCCAGTGGAAACTGAGCTCAGCGGCAGCTCATTGAGCGACGAAGAGGACTGCATTTTGCCGTCCGATTCCGACTCGGTGGCTGACGATGAGACCCGAGATCTGCTGGCAGGCTTATTTTTAGGCGGGGACGGGGATGACGCGATCGATGAAGGCGTGCCGTTCGTCCAAAACTAGCCTAGTGCAGGCCAATCTCCACCACAATGAGACAGCGTCGGCTCAATTACGCAAGTGGTTGGAGGCACAAACGACGGCCATAGCCCTAATTCAAGAGCCATGGGTTGGGGCTGGTAAAATTAAAGGCCTAAACAACCTAAGAGGTTAGTTATTCTATAACTCTGAGCACGACAAGCAATATGGCGTGTATTTATACTACTAAAGATATCTGTGCAAAACCACTAACAGATTTCCGTTCCAGAGACATGTATGCCGTAGCATTACAAAACACACAGGAGGAAAGGTTAGTCGTTGCCTCGGTATTCATGCCTGAGGAAGACACCACTCCCCCTCACGACCTCATCAGGCTGGTGAATTTCTGTGAGAGGGCCGGACTAGAGGTTGTGATCGGGACGGACTCCAACGCGTATCATCCCCTTTGGGGAATGGAAAAACCTAATGAACGAGGTAAGGTTTTTGTTGAATATTTATTTAGCACTCACCTAACCATATTAAACACTGGTTCTGAACCAACCTTCATAAATAAACGCTGTCGCACAATAATCGACCTCACATTTGCAACAGAAGGAGCAGCTAAGTTAATAACGGGATGGCATGTGTCCAAAGAGGCCTCATGCTCAGACCACAGATGGATCTGCTGCGTACTACAGGTCGATATCCCCGCTATACCACCATGGAGAAATCCCCGCAAGACGGATAAAACAAAATACCTCAATAGGCTGACGTCTTCGCTCGCGGGTGTTGGGGGAACTAATACCATAGCAGATCAATCGCTCCTAGAAGAACAGGTAGCAGCTGTCACTAAAGCCATGATCGATAGCTACCATGAATCATGTCCAGTAATCACTCCACCAAAACATGCTGAGCAAAAGCAAAAGTGGAAACTATACGATCTATAGAACCGACCATCCTTCTGGAAATTCTCATTGCGGTACTGCAGTGATACTGAAAAATAACATAAAGCATTACCTTCTCGAAATATACAAAACAGAAAAAATTCAGGCAACATCAATTAAAATACACCACAAAAACACTGAGACAACATTCACTGCAATCTATTGCCCTCCACGGCCCAAAATCGAAGCCGATGAGCTCAAGCTGTTTTCCAACAAATTGGACCCAGTATTTATCTGCGGAGGAGACTGGAACTCCAAGCACACTTTCTGGGGATCAAGACTGATCAACCCTAGGGGCAGACAGCTATATAAAGCCACTCTAGATCTCAATCTCGAATGTATCTCGCACGGAGAACCAACGTACTGGCCAACGGACTATAACAAAGTACCAGATTTGCTAGACTTCTATATTTCAAAGAATCTTGGGCAGAACTTGATAGAATCAGGCGTTACTTTGCGGAAATCCATTATAATAAAAAATAAAAATATAAATTTCTTTGCAACTTTCCGCTAAACATATAAAATGATGTGTCTTACCTGGATTGAAGCGCACCTCCCGCCCTCCCTCAATTGCATACACTAACTCCGTCACCACTAGAGTAGTGGTGCTTGGTCTAGTGGTGACGGAGTTAGTGTATGCAATTGAGGGAGGGCGGGAGGTGCGCTTCAATCCAGGTAAGACACATCATTTTATATGTTTAGCGGAAAGTTGCAAAGAAATTTATATTTTTATTTTTTATTATTTTGGGCAGAACTATTTACAGATTGAAAAATGTGAAGATCTGTCATCAGATCATACTCCAGTCATTTTAAATACTTATAAACAGGCCATTTTCCTTAAGCCACTCCTCAAGATCTACAACAAACATACCAACTGGGACCAGTACAGAGAATTTATACGTAGTAACATTGACCTAAACATAAGTCTAAAGACAAACGATGAAATCGAAGCCGGCGTTGATTCAACAGCATTGTACACATGGCTGCCACCGTTTCCACTCCTAAAAATAGGAAATCAAAAACAAAACAAAAGGAATCCGCCAGAAACATAATCGTGAAGGTCAGTGAATGACGCAAATTAAGAGGAAAATGGCATAAAACTAGATATCCTTCCGATAAATCTCAGCTAAACAGGGCAACGAAGGAACTAAAAGACATGATTAAAGAGCATGAAAATCGTTGTGTACAAAGTCACCTCTCTCAACTCACATCACAAAAGGATACTAATTATTCACTGTGGCGCGCAACCAAGAACCTTAAGCAACCAAAAGACCACATCCCGCCTCTGAGAAAACTTGATAGAAGCTGGGCTAGGACTGATGTAGAAAAAACAACAGCATTCGCAGTACACCTAGAAAAAGTATTTACACCACTACCTTGTTCCAACCCCGATAATGACGATGACATAGCGAATTATCTACAGTCTCCAAATCAATTATGTCCCCCATTAAAAGCAGTAAGTCCTAAAGAAATAAGCCGGGAGATAAAATGTCTTTCACCCAATAAAGCTCTGGGGTACGACCTATTGGACTCCGTGCTTTTAAGCAATCTTCCGAGGAGTGGCGTAATATATCTTGTTACACTCTTCAAGTCATCTATGAGACTCTCCCACTACCCGGGACAGTGGAAAATTGCTCAAGTAGTAATGATCCTCAAACCTGGAAAGCAGCCAGAAGAAGTCTCATCCTACAGACCAATAAGTCTCCTTCCACTGGTGGGGAAATTGTTCGAAAAAGTTATCCTCAATAGAATGCAATCTTTTTTTCTATTTGAAAAGGACGAAGAGAGAACGAAATGTGAAATATGGGTAAATCAGGAATGTCTAGACATTCCTGATTTACCCATAGATATCAGGAATGTTCTAGAACAGGTAAATGAAATTGTATACTTTGGGATTGCTTTCAGCCGGGATGGAAGATGTGATTTAGATGTGGATAGGCGTGTCGCTGCCGGAAACAAAGTCAATGGTGCCCTGAATGCATTAGTAAAAAGATAAGGCGTGGTGAAGAGTGCACGCCTTGCAATACATAACGCAGTGTTGGTACCGACTTTGTTATATGGCAGCGAAACCTGGGTATGCCAGAAGAAGGATAAAAGCAAGTTTAATGCAGTGGAGATGCGATCTCTTCGTAAAATGTGTGGCGTTACCATAGCCGACCGAAAGCGAAACGAAGAGATTCGCAATATGGCAGGATTGAAAGATGACCTTATCACAAAAATTGATAGGGGCGTACTCCAATGGTTTGGGCACGTTGAACGAATGAGTGAAGACCGAATGGTGAAGAAAATATATAGAGCGAAAGTAAATATTAAAAGGTGTCGAGGTAGACCGAGACTAACTTTCGAAGACCATGTGAGCAAATTGCTCGAAGAGGGGAGGGTCAAGAGTACTCGGATACCTAGACGTGCATGTATGAAGAAGTTAATGAACCTGAAAGAAGCGAAAGAGGTATGTAATGATCGTGACACTTGGCGATCTGTTCTCTCTGGCTACCCCGTTAGGGATTGTGCGTGAAGATAAGTAAGTAAGTAAGAATGCAATCTCATCTGAATGCTATTCTTCCTGGGCACCAATTTGGATTTCGACAAAGGCATGGAACCATTGAGCAGGTTCACAGATTGACAAATACCATCGGTTATACGCTTGAAAATAAGAAATATTGCTCGGCTGTGTTTCTGCATATAAGTCAGGCATTTGATAGAGTCTGGCACGATGGCCTCTTATTCAAGATCAAAAAACAGCTGCCGCATTCCTTCTACTTTTTACTGAAAAGCTACTTAAACAAAAGATGCTATGAAGTTAAACTGAACAACACCACGTCTGATCTGTTTGAAATCAGATCAGGGGTACCTCAGGGGAGCATATTAGGCCCTATACTATATATCTTATATTCACTGCTGACATCCCTGTTGATGATGAAACCTTTATTGCCACATACGCTGATGATACTGCAATAATGTCAGTTAATGCCAACCCAACAATCGCATCAGCACATCTCCAAAAACATATTGATGAGATAGAAAAATGGCTGAAAATATGGAGAATAAAGGCTAATCAAAGCAAATCAGTTCACGTCACCTTCACTCTAAAAAAAGGCGACTGTCCACCAATTACACTGAACGGAGAACAAATCCCACACGATAGTGCCGCGAAATACCTAGGTATGCATCTGGATAGGAGGTTGACCTGGCAGAAACATATCTGGACATATAAGGAACGTTTCGTTACGTTTAACAATACTATCAAATGGGCAAATATTTTCTTGATAATTTTAACTTACTAACCTTCCGAGCGTTACTGATTTTGAATTTTTTGCTGCTTTTTTATTTTTTATTTTTTTTGGAATTTCGGGTTTCTGCATTTTGATGTAATACTTTTATTGATGGAAAAGGAACAAAATATTTTCCTCGTTTGACTTTTGGGCACGTAATACTTAAATTTGTTTTCATTTGACTGACTTATTAGTTTCGTGATTTTAAATTTAATCAGGTTCTTTTATAAAACTATTCAAAAATTATTTTGACTAATACATTTGAAGGTTTTGAAGTATCAGAAACTATTTTAGGGGTAGCATGGAGTTTTAGCTCAGGCAAAATTAAATCTTTATTAGATGAAATACTATTTCCTTCAGTTGGTGTTTCAACAGAAATTGCTAAAGGGGTTGATAAAAAATCAAAAATGATGTATGATTTAAAATAAGTCCCTTGGATTCATCTTCTTTAGAGTTTCAGTTTCATTATCATTATTTTAATTGCTTCAACTTCATATAAAGAATTATCATCAGAAATTGCTTTTTCAGTGCAATCTGGATCTACATTTTTGTCAATTCTGTTTTTGTTTTCCAGTTTTCTTGATAATTTTGCATGGATTCGTCGGCAACTTTTTGAAGCTTATTTAATAGTTTTTATATGTTATTTTTGCTTATCATAAGCAGCTCTAGCTTCTGTTAATCTGGGTAGAATAGTTTGGATATGTTTAATTATAAACATATCAGCGCGGGTTGGTTCTCGGTCATCCAGTACATTTTCTTGTACGTATTTAAAATAATTCTCAGAACAAGAAGTAGTTGTAACATAATACTCTGAGCCATAATGCTTACGCATGACATTTGTTCATGATGGAAATCGTTTAAATTAGAATATTAATTTTTCTTATACACTTATTAAATAATAAGGGTTAATGTCTTCAAAATTCACAGCGTCAATAGAATTAATATTATTATGAGTTTCTCTAACAAGTTAATCAATATAATTCATTAAATTAAGATCAATTGGTGAATTTATTAAATGAGAATTAATCCTTTCTATTTCTTTATCATGACAAACCAAATGGTTGTCGCAAAGATTTTGTTTTTCACAGCTATTGCTGTTCTTAATTTTTTTGTAGTCAATGACTGTTTCATCAAATTCAAACGTTTCCAATTTTCCGGTATCCATTGAATATCATTTTTGCACCCATATTCATTTTGGCTTATATTTAATAATGATTTCATATTTTTTTCAATAACCGTGAAATTTTCCGTAGTGCTCATCAGGCCAATAGCTCTTAAATAAAAATCTTATTACAAATTTAACCGATGAAAAACTTTTGTGTGTAACACACTATGTATAAAATGAGCAATGTTAATTCTTAAATGTGTTCGCGGTAAAATTTTGCTCTTCTTTAATTGAAACCTGTAGCAGTTTGATAAAAAAATACTTGTATGACATGTCACAAAACGCAACATATATTCAATTTTGTAAAGCATCCGACATCTCTGTTACTAATTCGAGAGGCACGTGAGCTTTAGCTGAACGGAAACGGAAAGCATGAACTATTATAGTGTCATGTCTTTCCGTTAACATGTGGCAAATTGGAACGATTAAAGAACCGTTATTAATAACAATTTGATATAAAAATATCGGGCCAGGCCATGATGGTAATTTTCTGCGTAAGGAATCTCCCGAACTACACACCCTTTAGCGTTTAAAGACACTACCGATTTGAGTGGTAATAAATAGTTATATGAGTATAAATCAGTTTGCTGATGGGTGTAATAGAATATTAAAAATTTATCAAATCCCATTTGCCTAATAACATCACGATATTCCACGTTATTATGCTTCAAGTGTTTAATGAGTCTCAGGAGCTCCCTTGGACAGCAAAACGGATTTTCTTACCTTCATGGCGAATTTTATTAAGGAAAGGTGCATTTGGAATGATAGGATCTTCCTGCTCACCATACTGTTGGTACTTTATATTTATTAAGAAATATAACTAAATTTCTTTTAAAACCTCTTTTCCTTTTGCAGCTCCAAATCTTTCGCAAATTCACGTTTCTCTGTTCATCAGTTTCACGTCGTTTTTGGGAATGAGTTAGTAAAACTAAACTCCCCCAGGATAGTAGGTTTACATAATTCTTCAGTGCAAAACCCGGAAATCTTCAGAATATATTTATCGATATTATTTTCATTAGTTAGGTAATAAATGGATTGCTGTGGAAAACTAAATGTACACGGTAATGTTTGTGTAATATATATCAAGTTTGTGACGGTAGTAGTCCAACCGTTTTGTAAAACATAATATTTTTCATTATTACAATACCTTTTTTTTCAATCGGCTTAATTTTTAACCACTCATCTTTCGTATGATGTTGAAAAACAGCTATTTTAGCCAAAAACCAAAATAAAATACTGAACTGAGGTATAGTGCTCAGGCACAAATTTATCGATTTTCATAAATATTTCACTTTTTTTCTATCCCAAAACCACGGCATTAATTTTAAATTGTCATTTTTATGTTTCTCTAATTATTTGATATAATAAAAAGGAAGCTTTAGGCAGTCTTCTGGTTTTAAATAGCATTAATTCATTTCATATTTAGGGTCAGGTGGGGCATTTGTAATGAGATGCGCTTATTATTTATTTTACTAGGGAAAGTAGTGCTGACATGTCTAATATGTCTTAAGTATTTTGTGCACTACGCATAGACAAATTCTCGTAACAGTTTTAGAGATTGACGTGTGGATAAAATGTCATTTTTTGAATGACACCGACGCCGCGTCTTATGCAAAGGAGACGGTCCGAAATTGTATGAATCGTAGACCTGGTTTTGTACAAGTAGGAAAATAAATTAAAATAATAAACTATACCACTTTTGGTCATTCATATTTATTTTATTTCAGTGGTATTAATATTTTATTTTTACCAAAAACTGAAGCACTAATGGCGAATGTATGTCGTTTTGACGTTAGCTGTCAACTGTCATGAGGTTATTGATCAATTTATTGACAGATGCTGTGTTATTCTTATCACTAATAGCCTCATCAGGTAGATATATTATGTACAATGACTAAAATGTTTTGAAATTTAAGGATTTGCTATTTTGGTCTTGGAACAAGTAACGTTCTTGATGATATTTACATATCAATATCAATGCAATTCAGGAGCTCGGAATAAACAAAAAATATCACACTACTTACATAATTTCATGATTCAAGTCACTTGTCAGACATGACATTTGATATAATTTTATGAATGGAAGGGCGCCATCCTGTATAATCATCAAAAATTGGGATTTCATTTTTATTTTTAGTTTGATTTATTCAATTATTTTACTCTTAGTAAAATCCCTGAATTTTTCGCTTTTTTCGGTATAGTGTACATATACTGAGCCTGAAATGGACCGTCTCCTTTGTAACCTAACTTTAAATCGATATTCATCTTGGAAATAAACGTAAGTTAAAAGTTAATTCATAAAATATTATGATACTATTCGGTATGAGAATTCACTTAAATGTTGACTTTTGCGAAACTACCACAATTTGTTGTATTATGTCTATTGTTTCATTTACCTCTTGAAATTTAGGTGGGAATAAGTGGATTCATGGTCAGGGGTAATTGAAATGTTTTATTTTTATTTTAGATGGTGCGAAATTATATCAAAGATAATAAATTAGAGCCTAAATACTCGGAAAAGAAATTACAAAGAACTCTTGATCAAATTGGAGCTGGTAAAATTACTGCACACAGGGCGTCAATCCTTTACGGAATTCCATTTGCAATATTATATTGTCAAAACAAAGGACCTAGAGGAGCATTAAAAAAGTAAAGAACGCTGGACTGCACTTCCTGAGAATTTTGAAAACGTTTTGGCAAATTCTGTTAAAACGTTGGCGAAGTGGGGCTTTGGTCTCGGTAGAAAAGAAATTTTTGAGCTAGTAGGTCAATACGTGAAGATGAAGAAAATCGAAACCCCATTTAAAGGAGGTGTACCAGTAGAAGACTGGTTTCTTAATTTTAAAAAACGTCACAATTTGTCAATACAGATGCCAGAACCATTGAAGTATGCCAGAAAAAAAGCTGCCACGGATCCATTTATCATCTACGGATATTTCAATATGTTGGAAAAAGTTTTAATGGACTTAACTTAGAAGGTAAGCCCAGACAGATCTGGAATTTGGATTAAAACAGCCTTAGCATAGACCCATTGAAATCGAGAATTGTAGGAGAAAAAGGTGAAAACTCATTTAGAGTTGTCAGCATATCAGGAAGAGAAAACAACTTTTGTACTGGTTGCTAATGCTGCCGGTACAAAATTGGGTGCCACAATTGATAATTTTCAAAGCAAAAAAAATATGGGACCAGTGGAAGGCACCAACAGAGAAAGAATACCCTGGTACAGCCTACGCTGCCACCCCGAATAGTTAGATGGAGACTGGAACATTTAAAAAGTATTTTGAAAAAGTCCTCATACCAGCTCTTGGTAAGAAATGGCCAATCTTGGTCATATACGATGACCATTCCATGTCTCACTCATTTTTCTCTAGAGTTAATTGAAACTGCCTTGACCAATGAAATAACGATTTTGAAATTTCTAGCCCACAAAAGTGATCAATTACGGCCCTTGGACGTTTCTGTTTTTAAGCCCTTTAAACAACAATGGGACCAAACCATCGCAACATGACAGCGACAAAATAGTGGTCAAGTGATACCCGAAACGTTGTTCTCACAGTTTTTGGGGGAGACTTGGATCAATGAAGACGTTATCATGAATGGATTAAGAAATATATCTATTGAATTCCGAGGTCATTCCAAGAGAAAATTTCCCCAAAGAAGCTATAGAACGCTTGGAGAAGCACCGTACTGAATAGCTTCGAAAAGATAATGAGGCGAGTTATTCAAACGAACAGGATCCTAATCTTGTTCGTTCAAATAACTTGTCACCCTCGATATTAATCCCACCAACTGCTACATTCCCACAATATCATCGACTGTCGGACCAGATTTACAAAATCTCGTACAGCCGAATGAGGTATAGGCTTTTAATAATGCGCCAACAATATCATTAAAGCAGATAATTTTATCTACTATACAGCAGAAACGTCAGCCTATAATTAAACAAAGAAGACGCGAGAAGGCTTCTGGTGCAGAAGTGGTTACGTCTGCTAAAGTGCTTGAAGTGTTATAGGAACGAGAAAATGTAAGCGCAAATAGAAATACCAAAAAAAGGAGAACAATAAGAAAGACAGGAGGAAAAGGGAAAAAAAACATTGCAGATTCAGATGATAACAGTACTGATTTAGGTTCAGAAAATGATGTACACTACGCTGATTCCGACGAAAGCATGTAGATATAAGAGAAACTTGAAAATTTGAGTCAGATAATAAAAATACAATGGCGAAAATTAACAAAACAAAAATTAAATAGAGGAGAAAACTGAACCAAATATTGGTATTAATAAATGGATGATCGTTAGATGCACTTTGATAAAGGGACATAAATATTATGTAGGCTTCGTGAAAAAAAGAAAAACGATCGTTGGGAGGTTAAGTTTGCACGCTGCAAGGGTGCAAACTTTTTATGGCCTACCATAGAGGATTTAGATTTAATTACAGCTGATTCCATTGTCAAAATACTGCCTAATCCTGAAATAACTAAGCGTGGTAACTACTTTGATTTTAAATTTAGAAACATGATTATTTCATAAAACTCCTTCTTGCAAGACATTAACTGATTAAGAATGATTTTGTAGTCTCTAAGAAAAAGTTCATATCTTCGTAAGTTTTCACTCGATCTCACTGAAATAAAAACTGAAAGTTAATTTTAGTGTTTTATTGCTATTACCCCTGATTTAAAACTATATATTGTGTGAATAAACTGAGCAACGTTATTACATTTGCCCCTGTTCACCGGGTAAATACAATAAGTGAACCATTTTTTTTAAAACTTTAGTAAGTTCTGTTAACTGATGATTTTAGTTTCAGAAGTTACATAAAACTTTAGTGTACTAAATGCTTAATACACATGGTAATTATTAATTTTATACTTTTATGAACAAAAAAGTTGTCTTCAGTTAAATATATTATTATAGTTATGGTACTTGCATTTACTTTGACCCAAAGTATTTTCAAACTTATTAAGATTTTCTTAAAATCCCAATTTTTCTCTCGCTGATTTTGCTTTCTTATTGTCCACTTCTGTCCACAATATTTGGTTTGTTTGGTTTGGTGTTAACAACAATATATAATTACAACTGTCGCTTAGTTCAGTCGCTATAAACTACAAACATACAACCACAAATTCACACTGAAAGAAAATCTTCTGTGTAATCAAATAATTTATTTTTACATTCTCTTAATTTTAAAAGGTATACAAGTATATTTCAATGTTTTTATTAATTTTATTATATAGGTTTACTGATTGTATTTTGTAGTGTCTGGTGGAGCGACGTCCGACAAAGTGGGCGGCTATTCATTACGCATTCAATTTGAGCGAGCACCGTACTTAGCTCTTCGAAGGACAAAATTTGATCTCCTATTACTCGCTATAAGTCTGTGTCGTAGGGATTCTATTTTTGACATTTGTTGAATGGTTGTTAGTGTAAATTCCTAATACCAAGATGGCTAAGGGATAATATGTCCATTTATATTTATATTATTACCAACACACGGTAAGAAATATATTTTAAACAAGTTGTATTACAAAAAACAAAATATAATGTAGGTAACTCTGTTTATTATTGTAAATCATAATTTCTTTAAGTATTCTATTAATAGTAGCAGATACAGAAACAGAAATCTTTTATACAATTTAGATTAAAAATAATACTTATTGAAAGTCACTTTCTTTAATTACCACTGGTTCGGGAAAAAACCTGTCTTGATGAGAACCATCAAAATATCCAGTGGGACTTTTTTAAATAACAGCTTACAACCACGTAAGTTATAATTAACAACACAGAACAAATTAGAAATAGCTTAGTAGCGATCACTTTACCCCGGGGGTTATTATCATCCATAAATTCCTTTATATCATAATAACCCTTTTTATACAAACTTAGTTTAATAAAGTTTTTGAACTTTGATTATTGACTGAGATAGACAGACAGGAGCGGTGAAAAGACTTTGTTTTAATATGTTTTGGTTGATTAGTAAGTACTTATACATCATAATAAAATGACTGGGAATTAACATGCTTGTCTATGTTATTACACAATGATAAATAGTGAGGAAGTAAGATGTTTTAAACTATTTGTGTAAGGATTACAAAAACACAGGCATAATTTAAATGTATTTATTACTGGCGATGCGCCTCAGCTTTGCACTGGTGATTTGCGGATCTCGACAACAGTACTATCTACCAGGTCCAAATGTAAAACCATCTAGGGATCCATTCAAACACACAAACATTTTCATTAAAATGGGTTAGATGGTTCCTTATGCTTTGTCTATAACGGACATAGGTAGAAATATTTTTGTGTTAGATATATTTCTGAAGGTTTTTTGAAAATAACTTGATGGTAACATGTCCATTTATGATATTTTAAGCAATCAGAAGGACATTTTCATTGATAATAAATATGATATAAGACTGTTGTCTTCAATACCCATACACTTTTTGTCTCTGCAAGCTTTCAGCCTGCAAGGCATACAGATTTGTTATAAGCGATCCACCTGAAAAGAAGTTAATGAAAATTGTAAAGTTGTCTTAACTAAATAATAATTATCATCAATATATTATTTTTTCTATATTGTATAGGAATTAAAAGGACATTTTTAATAATAAGAGATATGAGATAAGACCATTCCTTTAATGTCAATAAACTATATTTACATATTTCTGTCAGCATTTTCTTATATCTGCCTGTACATATGTTAAATAAAAAAATATTATAAATTATACAGCACTAATCAGCTCCAGCTGATCAAATACAGAAGAAGTAATTATTGATTATTATATGAGTTTCATGTACTACATAAGAGAAAAAGATATTATTGTTATATTATGTATATCTGAGTCTAAATGACAAAATAATATTCCTTTCTGCAGAGTGAACAACACAGTTGTCGAAGCATATTAGATATGAGCATTACACCTTTTTATGCAAACTATTATTATTCAAACTTTATATTAGCTTCTAGTACAAATAATTACCACATTTTTACACATAAATATATGTACCATTTATATTGCCTATCTACTATGGCTGGTATAAATTCAGGATCCGTGTCTGGCTTAACAAATAAGCCATTTAGTATTAAGCAACTTGCTGAAAACAACTCTTTTATATTAATTAACCTAAACTCATTAGTTTTATTTGCGAATTTTACCACAAAAAATAAAAAGAGAAATACATACGTAATGTTTAAATTAATATTTGAATAACCTTCATGATAATGCGTAATATCCATATTCTCAACATTAGTCTTGTAATGCTGTAAATAAAATGCAAACATGTATTAATTGTGCGACCATCAAAAAAACATTTAACCAATAACCATAGACTTTATTTTGTTCTTACCATAATGATGCTACTCGAACCATGTTTTATTTCACTCGAGTGAATCGAGTGAATTTGTACAACTCGATAATCGAGGGAAAATAAATTTTACTGAGTTACCGAGTCAACTCAGTGCATCGTATAGACTCGGAGGGCGCTAGATAGATATTACTTCACTAGTTCACTTGTAGTACGATAGTGATAACACCATCATTGCTGTTTATTTATTTGTTACTTCGTGTAAGTAGTGCATAACGTAAAAGGTGATTGACATATTCATGTTTGTTTATAGTATGTGTGATTACCAATGAAACAACGAAACAAAAACCGTCAGTGTGGCTTTATTTTGAAAAAAAAAATATCGTGAAGAAAATGATTTGTAAGATACGTAAAAAGCAGTTTATAGATTTCAAAATGAAAAAGAACATAGAAATACTACATATATATAAATATTTAATATTTTAATTCTATATTGCCACATATTAATTATTTAATAAAGGTACATATTAAAAAATTGTTTAACTAAAGTAATCGCCACTCTCAACTCTAGTGATAGATTTTTACTCGATGCAAGGTCTGTAAATAATCGATTTACTCGAAAACTAGTGTACAACTAGAATAACATACATACATAAATTAACCCGAGTGGCTCGAGTCAAAAAATTCTACTCAAGTCGTATCTTTATCTGACGGCCAATGCAGTGTCTGTCTACGATTTAGTGATGAAATCTACTTACCAATTCGAGCAATTTATTGATATATTATGTAATATTATTATAAATACGTAATATGTTTATAATGGAATATTAATTTATGTTATATATAATACAAATCGATTAAGTATACTTTGTGATAGTAAAATTATTAATAACATTAAAACTTACGTCGTAACGTTAGAGTGATATTATTTTATGAAGATTGTCGATACGCAAACCAAAAATATGTAACTACCTATTAAGTTTAGTAATAAATTGTGTTGGATAGAAAAACAATTATAAAAATAATTTGTGACAAATTGACGCAGCTTCGTTCAGCTAATTTGAATTGCGTAACTCGAGTTCAAAATCAAGGTACCTGAATTTCTGTTCGAGTTAACTCGAGTCGATTTTTTTCCGAGTTGGCACATCTCTAAGACAATGATTTTTTAAATATTACATTACCAGAACCAATGAACTGAACACGAATATTAAAACAACTCATTTTTTCATTTTTTGATTCCGCTTAGGTTTTCAAAAAATCTTTATGCTATATATAATAATAAATTGGTATCTTTTTTGTATGTCATACTATTGCGGGGCGATAAATTTCTAGTGGGCCCAAAAATGATTGTCTCCTTTGTACAGCTTAGAATACATTACCTTTAATAGGCAACGTTGCGCTCTCTCAATTTTAAGAAATTTGGTTTTTTAAGCTCCACCCCATATGTGGATACAACATCCCAAGACAGACTGAACCAATGCAACATATACCTGTTCTTGTTATTAATGAAATCTATGTAAGGATGCTAAGATAATCGTTGGTCAAGTATTATTTCTAAGTACCGGTGGTTACGCGGAAACGATTCGTGTATTTTAATTTTAGGGTATATTGTGCCAAGTGTCCTTCCTTTTGAACTATTGTGGTTTCTGTAAACACACTGAGTGGGGAAAGAGGAGAGGCTAGAAGGTGGCGTGATTCTTTCGACCAAT